CGGCTTCTGCCTGCAGCTCTTGCTGGACTGCCACATCATACTCTGATACGGCTGTCGATACTCCACTGGTGGACGCATTACTTGGTGATATTGGTGTTCGGAAGGGATCTGATTTTTGTGAGGTGATTGTGTCGGCCCGGCTTGAAGTTGGAGGAGCAAGTTTGCTAGTATCCATTGTCTACGAAAAGGATGAATTTTGATGAGAAATTTAGAAAACGTGATTTGAAGTTTATTCCTGTGATTTTCAAACCTTTTGATAATGGTGGAGGGTCAGGATTGAAAGGAAGCAAAGGGCGCGCCTCAAGCCATCATATACACATGGAGTGGGCTGTGCAAAAGCGGCTTTTGTCCAGTTTGGATAGAAGACCGTCGACTAATATGAACCTGGCTACATGGCGTTGGTTTGAACACAGCCTCGCTAGGTAGCAGATGCTACCACAAGCTAGCCACCAGCCTCCCAAGGCAGCAGAATATCACGATTGATTAGTCTTCCTTACGTACATGGCAGCCTCAAACGAAAGTGGTTTTTGTCTCTTTTGCTATGGATCAACAAAGTCACTAGCGTTAAATCCGACATATAGCTCTAGCCGTCAATACTCCTCAACCGAATTATACTGGGACATTGTCAATGACCCTTGGCCGTTATTTCCTCTTCGATCAGCTACCTATGAACTCAAGAAAGCTGCGTCCATCTAATCAAATCCATCTACCTATGTTGACAAATGCAAAACTAAACTATTCCTAGAATCTCGACTTGTCACAAAAGCAGCTAATTACGATTACAAACCCACCAGTAGGTCATGGAAGATAAGCCTCGACAGGTTACTCACAGGATGATGACGATGACAGGTCACCAAAGCTGCAAACGCGCCAAGAAATCGCCGTGTCGTGAAAACAGCAAGACGATCTGCAAACACAACCCACCAATAATTAGGTACTCACAGATTTAACCAGAAGCATGAGCAAGAATCCAACCATGTCTTGTACCTACACAAAACGCAAGAATGCACCTAAAAAATCAAAACATGAACATGTCCTCATAAGCATGTTGCTCACCTAAGATTATTTAATGCGTTTCTATGTCCAGTCTTTGTGTCCAGCCCCTTTATTCTGTCACTACACATATCAATCCAATTTGTTCGTGATGAGCTATTCGGCCTTTGTTCGCTTGCTCTATACAGTCATCAGTGATTGCCGTTTGACGCAGCTGTGCAGCATTTTCGAGCAGCCCCACATTCTATAAATGGCTTAGCGCAAGACGTCAGCAATAGACCACTTCACATGATTGGTCAATTCTCAATCTTGTGATGACTAGACGTTTGAGATGCCGCTTACGGAGGTGAGGCCGCAATCACGAACCACTGTACACGTTCCACTTTATTTCGCAACAAAGGATTCAGTATAACGCTACGAGTGTGGCATTGACGGTCCGACTGTGATAGGGGCGGATACGGTGTGGCACCAGGATGCTGCATACGCGGCTCAGGGCGCACGCCTCCTCTTCCGCAAGGCTTTCTTCGCACGGACAGATGGCAGGCATAGATGCACGGTGGCAATATGGGCTACGCACCACCGACAAAAGGTGTAAGGCTGACAACGCTACTATCGACCCAGAAGAGAAGACTGGGTCCCGATGCTAGTTGACGGTAGGAACAGGGTAGCGAAATTACATGTCTTGGATGTAATGTAATGTTCCCGACGTAAGCAACCGAAGAAATTAGAAAGGACCCAGGGAAATCATTGCGGTAGAATTAGCTTAGGTTGAGTTTCGGCAAAGCTTGGATGTATGACATCAATGTAGTACTCTATCTAATTAGTCTTCTCACAATGGCTTCACATATACAATCATGCTGTCCGATGATCCACAGGGCCTCCTCGCCAGAGCATTAGACAAGGGATGCCGGTTTATTGTCATGCAAGCCTCGTCGTACAACGGTATACTCTGAACAGTGGCACGGACAGGGCTGATAAGCCCGCGAGGCGGATACACTCCACATGTCGTGCGCTTCCACTAGTGATGGTACAAGACCGCCTTGCCAATAATGCACAATGTCTGCAGCAGGCAGCAGCGCTAACTTTCACGCTCTGGATGGCCATATCTTTGTTCTCTTCGCTCATAGACGGAGGTACAATGAGTGCCATGTATAATGGCAACTTTCCTTCGCTTGCTGTTTTGTCTGTCATATGTACACAGTTCGACTGTGGGAATCACACTTCTCAGTCGGCAGCTACTAGTGAACATCTTTGCACTAGACCAGGGACGAACATGGCCTATGTGACTTTTGTGGCACGGTTCACGTGTGTTCCTGACAGAAGCGCATGGTCTGTCCCACTTGACCCCAGGAGCTCGGCTACATGCATCTGCTTGTATGTATTTGCATTCTTTCAAGTCATGCCAGTGATGTTGTTGAGCAGGTGGGATTGCCACATGCAGTGTCTCGCAGGCCTGGAGCTGGACGATTTAATGCAACATCCCCAAGCCCAGACACCGTGTTCATCGCATCGCATCGCCACAATCTGCAACCACCCATACCATGCCTATGCAGCTGTATCTCAGGTGGTCCTCATTACGTCTACAAGAAGAGCGTCTTTGTCTTCTGTTATGCCACAGTCTATAGCTACGGAGAGCGCTTTCACGATGAGAAGCATTGTCATCGCTGGCGGCTGAAGACCGAGTGTCTGTAGAGCCGACCGCCCAAATTGTCGCGCTACCCTTAGAAGATCAACCTGAAAACACACAGTGCTGCTTTACCGCACGCGCCTCGCTTCTGTACTCCTTCACGCCTTCGAACTGCAAACCCAACATATCCAAGTCCTCGAAAACACAATCGCCTTCATCACCGATATCAGATCTCTCGGCACAGCCTTATCCAAAAGCTCCTTTGACAACCGCATTGCAACCTACAACTTCATCCTCGACCAATGGCTCAGCCTCGTAGCTATTTACCTTGCCTTCAGCACCGCCGCAAATTTCCATAGCACGTAAGCCGCATGGACCGCGTATCTCGCGTCCCTCTCTCCAGCCGAGCGCTTGGTACAACACAAGCACCTCAATACCGCCAGGGTGGATCTCAAAAAATGGCCGTTGCGGAACCCAATGTATTTCGCGCGTGCTTGTTAAACAAGCGCTGTGGAGACGCAGACAAGAAGAGGACAATTTAGAAGAGATGGACAGAAGAGTGTCGAAACTCAATCATGCGCTGCTTCCATAGTCTGATTGACTCTCTTCTTACCGATAGCGACTATAGTTGGCTTTGCAGACTCTCGGTCTTCAGCCGCCGGCGATGACCTAGGCGAGTTCTGCTGTGAGGTATATGGTTATGGGGTCGAGCCACTGGTCGAGGATGAAGTTGTAGGTTGCAATGCGGTTGTCAAAGGAGCTTTTGGATAAGGCTGTGCCGAGAGATCTGATATCGGTGATGAAGGCGATTGTGTTTTCGAGGACTTGGATATGTTGGGTTTGCAGTTCGAAGGCGTGAAGGAGTACAGAAGCGAGGCGCGTGCGGTAAAGCAGCACTGTGTGTTTTCAGGTTGATCTTCTAAGGGTAGCGCGACAATTTGGGCGGTCGGCTCTACAGACACTCGGTCTTCAGCCGCC